GCCGGTGTCACGTCCCCTGGGCGGGGGTAGGATTGGGGATTTCCTCGGCACTCGGCCCCCCCCGAGCCGGGCAAGTCCTCGGTCGCACGCAGCTGCCTGCGGGGGCGCCGGGCTGGGGGGGAGCAGATGCCCGTATCTGGGCTGCAGGTTCCGGGCGGTAACGTCCCAGCTCTGCACCTGCCGGGGCTGGGGGGACCCTGCCCGGCCCAAGGGAAGTCAGGCCAGCCTGACCCCGCACGCGGCTCCTGCAGCCGCCCCGGACCTGGTGCTGGACGCGCAGGTGGTGCAGGAGACGGGCTACCTGGAGGAGCGGCCGCTCGCCATGCTGTACTGCGCCCATGAGGAGCGCTGCCTCTCGCACTCGGCCGACCACGCCGACTGGCCCGACGGGTACCGGCGCCTGCTGCGCTTCTCCTCCCGGATCCACAACCTAGGCCGAGCCGACTTCCGGCCCCAGACCGGCCGCCACGCCTGGGTCTGGCACCAGTGCCATAGGTGAGCGCCACCCCGCACAGCTGCACGGCCGGGCTCTGGGGCAGTGTGGCCCCCCAGCAGCTGGCCCCAGGCAATGCCAGCTCCCCAGTGCAGTGGCTGCTAGCAGCGCCCAGAGCAAGGGCTGCAGTCCGGGTGCCCTGGGAGCCTCTGGCCTGGCAGACGAGGAGAGGAACCGGAGCCAGGCCCCAGAGCAGGGCCCTGCATGTGCTGCCCGGTCTCCCCACGCCTGGGCACCACATGGCCCCCGGCTGGCTGCGTGTCCTGGTCCCCAGCTGGCTCTGTGGTGCCGGCCCCGCCCAGCGTAATTGGCAGCGTCTGGGCCAGGACTGTCATTACGGCTTTATTTGGATGCAGAGCTGTAATTCTGGTCCCAGCTGTCGGCCCCCAGCCCCCACCCCCGGCAGCTCCTTCCTCTCCTCCCACTGCCCTCCCTGCCCAGGGGTCTGGCACTGCCAAGGCTCTGCCCACTGCAGGGACAGGGGGGTTGGCCAGGGCACCCTCCAGCCTCCCCCACTCCCCGCCCAGCTCACCAAGTGGGGGACACCCTCCCCTGTGCTCCTGGCCCGATGCCTGGAGCAGTCGGGGGGGGGGCACTGCTCCTTCTCTCCCTGCCCCCTCTCGCCCCTCCAGGCACTACCACAGCATCGAGGTCTTCACCCACTACGACCTGCTGACGCTCAACGGCTCCAGGGTGGCTGAGGGGCACAAGGCCAGCTTCTGCCTCGAGGACACCAACTGCCCCCCAGGTAGGGGCTGGGCTCTGGTAACCCCTCCAGGGCCTCCTCAGAACCAGCACCCCC